GAAATTCTCGTAGGGCCCTGTGGCCCAGCTACTGCGCTGCTTTCGGCGCCACGAGTGGTTGGTCAGACCCGGTAATGTCTTCAGCATAAATAAAATAACAAAATAATTTTTCTTTACAGCGCTAAGATTTGAACCCGTACCCTCAATGCTTCGAAGGCGAGTGTCTTTACCACTATAGGTTGCACGCCCATGCGTCCACAAAGGGAATACACGTACAGTACATATAAACATGGATGTGCCTCTTTGTGCAAAACAAATGCAGAAAGACAACACTTTCTAGTCATGTTTTCCTTTGTAAGGCATTGAATATCCTAAGCGGAACATGACGTAGAGCGGATATGAAAAAATGCACAACATAATAAAATTTCCTTTTTACAAAAAATGACGACAAACTTGGGTATTCATTGTCCTCCTGAGGAGGCTGTTACATTACTTTAACAAAGGAGTAGAAGCGAGCATGGGCACGCCATCTAGCGGTTGGTAAGACCCTTTCTTGCTATATAAAGATTTCCCCTTCCACCCGGTACGACCCCCCTCCCCCCCCGGTGACATTGTTCGCCTACGAAGATGGCCTCTCTATTTTCCGCCGGGACGAGGCGACTGTTTGCACCAGTCTTAAATGTTATGAAGGGGTACTGCTTCGCGAGCGGCACCAGGATAAATAAGTCAAAGAGCGCAGTCATGTATTTGAACTGCGCTCCCTCCAGTCCGCGTCCCGTACACGGCGTCCCCATAAAAAAGCGCCTGCGCATATTGGGATTCCATTTCGAACCGAATGGCCTGACTACCGAAAACTGGCGGTTAGCTAGGGAAACGCTGACTGACAGGATTCGGGAACACGGCGCCTTGTCTTGTCCACTTACAGCTAGGGCCACGATAATTCGATCACTGTTGTTTAGTTTGCTCACGTATGTAGGTTCAGTCATGCCGGTTAAGCCCCACACCAGGGTTCTCCTGGAAAAGAAACTTTTAGGTTTTCTTTGGAGTCGTGCATCTGCGTGGTTGCCGCGCCCCGTGCGGAAGCTGCGCAGAGATGAAGGAGGACATAGTATTCCTGACCTCTGCGTGGTGACCACGGCGCTACGCGTCAGATGGACACGGGTAGCTCTTGATTAGGTTATGCTCCTAACTCGAAGCTTTGCATCGTGTTTCCTGAGCATGCGGCTAAGGCTGTTCCTCGCTTGAGGCATCTTCTAATTCGGTGCCTCGGGCGGCAACGCCCTCTGCCTTCTATGCAGGGGCCGCTTCTACTTTGGCCCGTCTCCAAGAGGTCGACCCGGAGATGGACTTAGCTTCGATCGAACTCCACGAGTTAGTCGATAGACTCACTCCGGAGTTACCTGAACGCTGTAGAGAACATGACCTGTCCCAACACAGTCCTAACTGGTGGTTCATTACTGCCAGTTTCCTGGACGCCATGCGCGCTACATTTATGTACCGCCTGGCCAGAGGGCGCCTGCCCATAAAGTTTAGGCGCCTCACGAATGTCTCTACAAGAGGAACATGCCCCGTTTGCAGCACTAGAGAGGACCTGGTCCACTTTTTATTTCAGTGTGCATTACCAGCCACCCTTCATCGATGGATAGCTAGCTCGTTTGGTTACCTCATTGTTCTTTTCAACACTGTTCAGTTTTTGCAACCTCTGTCGGGACAAGCGGTTAAGCAGTACGTACTTCTGCTTGTTGACTGCTCCTATACCAAGTGTGGGTGGCATGGTGTTGTGCTATCTTTGGTGGGAAGCAACCCGGGCTTCACGAAGTACGTGCAAAAGTACAAAAAGAGGTCTCGTTCGTCCTCCACCGAGAGTGGCAGCGCCTATAGGTGCAAAGAAATTTTATTAAACGTGGCACCGTCCGGCTGTGATATTCAGTGAATCAGAAGTGCAGATAACCATCAATTTTTTAATGGAAGCGTTCTTCAAAGTTCAACGACTCGGCTTAGTGCACCGATCGCCTCGGAGTTTAGTTTGTGTGGTCGTTTGCCTAGTCCTTGCATGCGCTACGGTGATCTTGTCACCTTGTCGGGCTTTACCCACAAGGTCCGTGTTGGCCCCTTCTGCAGGCTCAGCGACTCTACTCGTCGAGGCGGAGGGTGGCTGTCTTCCTCGGGAAGGGTTAAGCCGGCTTTTAGCCGTGCTGGTTCACAAGGCACGTCGAGTTTGCGTGCAGCGGCATCCACTTCTGTGCCAAACAGCAGTCCTGTAGTCCCAAAGAGACAGATTGTGTCTCGCTGGACCCTCGCGGTCAGTAGACGGGCCGTGACCGCAGCGCACCTCAGGCGCTGCGTTAGCCCACCTCTCCAGGGTACGTCCGCTTTGTGTGTCGTGATTGAATTACCGCACCGAAGTGTAGCCACTATGTTGGGTCTCCCGGGCTTGTACGCAAGGAGGCAGGCCACGTCTGTTTGGTGCCTGGCGCCGAGCAGCGGCCCCCTTGCCAGGGTGTGGCCTTCTACCCGAAACAAAAACTTCCCCCTCACACGACCCTCGGGGAGGAAGACATGCCGGGACAGTCGTATGGATGATGATGGGTTGATGAGTTATGTGTGACACTGAGACAAAGCGCCTTCGGCGCCGCGTTTCCTTTCTATCTGACAACGGCATATAAAGGCGCCAGTGGCCGCTCTTTATATAGTATACTTCTCTATGATCTATCTATCTATCTATCTATCTATCTATCTATCTATCTATCTATCTATCTATCTATCTATCTATCTATCTATCTATCTATCTATCTATCTATCTATCTATCTATCTATCTATCTGCCTACGTATTGGAGCTCTCATGATCACGACCTTAACATGGGGTAAACAAAAAACGTCAGGCCTGCGTGGTAGGCGCAGCGCAGTAACAACGAAATCTAGAAGAGCGGCCTTTCAGAGCCGTTTCAAAACCTCACAGGGTAACTACTGCAAGCACACTTGCTTGGTACCACCCACTAGGGCATTAATAATAAACTTTAGGGCAGTAGGCCGGTATTCGCTATGATATTTTTCGTCATTCTTTTGAGAAGCGTGGTATCCGCTAAACACTTGCTAGGAATTTTGTGCCAATTGTCCATGCAGTGGCTGACGACGACGAGGAATTATGACTGAAGTGGGTGTGCGCCACAGTTAATAGGGAAACAAGAACAATTATTCCTATTTTCTCTCATACAGTATACATTACGGTGGCGCGATTTCGCACACTGAAAATCAGGCAAAATTTATCAGGCCCTGCACTGACGGCTTCTCCAGAGTACAAACACTTGTTTGTAACCCTGGCGCAGTGAACTGTCTAATTCAAGGATGATGGAAGTTGTCATCACGAAATTTCGTTGCCACGTTACCTCCCTCAATTTTTACTTGCATGGATCAGGTATATTGAATTGCCCTATGTGCATTTACTGTAATCAAGAGGAAACGATCAGTCATTTTTATTATATTGTCGTCATTTCGATTTATTCAGGCAAAGCATACTAGCACCACCTCTCCAAAGACTGGGCTTGCAATTATCACAACCTGATCTTCTTTCATTTGGAGCCTGTACAGTGGGTTTCAGCCACAGGGATGTTTTATTCGCCGTTCAAGAATACATCACTGCGACTAAACAATTTTTTTTGCTAAATTACGGTCTCACTATATTTATTCATTTTTTTTTCTGCAAACTTGATATCGGCATTTCAAATCAAAATTAAGCTACAAGAGGTTTGTAGGAATGACGCAATGCTGAAAGTAAAGGGCAAATTCACCTTATAATCGGCCAATCCCCTGCTTTGGGTACGAGCCATTTGCACAGGGAAACAACAACAACAACAACAAGAACAAGCTTCTGTACTGGGTTAGAGCATTGAGTGGCCCACTTGTTACGCTAATCGCATTGTGCGACGACTGGTTGTTCTTTCGCTGTTGTAAAACGCTCTATAAGTCGTATTAACACAAATGCTTTCCCAACATCAAGCCTGCCTAAGGCAAGTTTGACAACCAGTCACAAGCACCGGCGTGACTCAGTGGCAGAATATTGGGCTGGCACCCAGAGGACCCGGGTTCAAACCCCACTGTGTCATTGGTGCAAGGTTCTTTTTTCTAATTTCGCGCGATGTGGCTACGGACACCAGCGGTGGCACTGGCGGACAACATGCAACTGCGCATGACCTGAGTTGTGATCTCATAACAGCTTTCGCTGTAAAATTGGCACATACGCGCGGGCGGGTATGTGCCACAGGTGAATGACAGTTTTATATTTACAGAGGAACCGTGACAACACACATGGGTAATTTTCACGCGCAAGCGTTAAGGAAAATATGACATCGGCTGCGTTGACCCAACGAATGCGAAGAATCAATGTCAGGGTCCCAGTAAGAATCGAAGCCAAGCCCTCTGCGTGGCAATCAAATATTCTACCACAGAGCCAAGCCAGCTCTCGGAACTACTTTTCGAATAGACCCTAATGTTTGTGAAAAGACACTTGTTGCGGTGCTGGCTATGAAATCTTATGAACACTGTATGTGTGCAGTCTGCTAGATCGTTAGCTATCATGCAAGAGTGGGACTCCTTTCTGTGCATCTTTGCCGTACAACTGAATTAGGTTTCAAAAAAAGGTGTGGACAGGTGTTTCCACAAAGCACATATGTCCATTTTTTAACTTCGTTCCATAATATGGTGTCGTTAGACAAAAAAACATGGCCGCTGCGCACAATAGTTAAAGTGTTGGTCAACTTTACTTCCTATGATACAGCCGTCACGTTGGGTTAACGTGAACTGTAGTTAATAAGAGCCATCAACTGAAGTAGATTGATGTAGCGGAGTCCAGGGCTACCATCCTCGTGAGCATCAGCGCTTCATATCAGCTGACACTGCTCCTGGTGTTACTAATAATAATGTTCCATTTGGCATCGTTGCGCAACTGTAAGCAACTAGTTATATAAGCATTTGCGGCTCGGTTGAATTGTGTGCGTGCGTGCATTCGTACGTATCCTCAGCATCACTACGTATCAGTAAAAAAAAAAAGAATCCAGAAAGTATTAGTTCACCGCAGTCTTTTTGTTCCGTTGGCCACCGCCAATTTCTAGGGGCTCCATGATCGGCCCTTTACTGCAGGATAGATCTTGGGAGCCTGGTCGGACAGCAAAGCAGCGCAGAAAGCCACACGATCCCTCCTGCAGTGTATGAAGGCAACTTTTCGAGGTAACAACAAGCCAGGCGCATTTATTAGCGTCACACTCACCAACACCATCTCCATTGCTAATTCCTTCGGAAATGGAGGTCAAGCCACCTTTTTTCAGCATTGAAAGGGTAAGGCCTCGCTACTGCCGTGAGTCCGCCCATTTCGGGAACTTGGCACGACGTCAGCAATTGGCGTCATCGGCGAGCTTTTCCGCTTACACTTGCGCTTGCTGTAGCTCCTGGTTGTCTACTGTTTACGTTGCCGCACGTTATGGCCATGAAATCGAGCGGAGTCACCGCCTGGCGGCAACTGGCTGAAGCGCGCAAGTGTGTATTGCTCGGTCTGTCGTCTGCTAGCCCCGTCGTGTTTCTATGTGCGCGTTCGTCATGCACGTTCTCAATGCGTGGTTTGCCCGGTTGTGTCAGCGCGAGCATAACTCTTTGTACGTATGCCTGAAATGACGTACGAAAGCATTTTGCCTTTTTCGGCTGCTAATGCATTGTAGTAAGATCAGTGAATGCAACTTTCCAGAGTACTGTTGATTGCCGTCGTAACGTCGTATCCTCCATTCCCCAGAGTAATTTTAGAGTGCGTGCCACTTTCTGCTTCAAGCCCTTGGAAAATGTTCTTGGCATCCTCCGAAACATGAGGACTATAAAATGGTGTGTGAATGCAGCGTTTTAGCTACTCGCTTGTAAACAATAACAAGGCTCTAGGCCACGCCCTTGCGTGCTGTTGGTAGGCGTACGACTACGACACGCTAGTTTACCGATAGTGCTAGGAGCCTTAATTATGTTTATTCGGTCGTGGTACTACAACACACAAATAATAATATGGCATAAACTGTGGCACTTTGGTACTTAAACTGTACTTAAAACGAAGTGACCGTGCGCAACCACGTGCTCAGATTAAAAAACGCTTTAAAGAGCGCAAATATTCAAAATAATCTTAACTATATGCCTTCCGTTTATTGTCTTGTAGCTTCAATGAAAATCTCATACTTTTTTACAGTTTTGAGCGTTTGTATGGCATTGTTATTGACCGACAAAAGGCAGCGGTTATTTTTCACCTGAAAAAGGAACATGCTTGTCCCATAAAATCAGCAGACCTGTGTTGTTCTAATGCACGGAATTTATTGATCAAAGCTTTCTGCTGAACGCTTACAAGGTTCTTATACTTCTACTGATTCAAGAACATGTACGTATGCATGGTAAACACATTGTAGCGTGAAGAACTGTGAGCCCCTAAGCTTTTCTGTTTAGAACTATCGGCTATTTCACATTTCATGGTAAACAGAATGAGAAAAAAGATGCATATACGTATAAGTGTGAACGATGGTGCTGAACTCCTCATACAAATATGCGGGCTTCCTACGATCTTTCTCTTTTGTTGTTGTTGAATGCCGATGATAAAGAAGTAAATAAGTTAATGTCACGCTACAGCAGGGTGTACCAGGCGGGACACCAGCAAAACACGCACAAAACACAGCAATAGCGTAATTCAGTGCGAAAGCGCGCAAACAGTCACCCATGCAAGCATCCCTTTGAAAGGCGCAATGCGCTTTACTCGCTTAATGGTAACGTTGCAGTATGCTTCGTTCACCTGATTCAGTAGAGAGGAGCGTAGATATTAACAGTAAACTGCAATCAACGCACTCTTATGCGCCGACAATCGGCTCAGACCGCACGCAACGAAGCGCCGCTGCGTGTATTTATACTGTATACGCGCCACCGACCGCCTATCCAAACTTCCGCGGAGACAGGTGCTGCTACCTATAGCCTGATCTCGCCGCGAATAAATGATCCCACGCTGCACGCACGCCTTGGAAGGTTTGAGAAAGAGAGAGTTCTTGGAAAAAGAAGGTAAAAAAAAGATTTCTACGGTGACACGCCTTGTCGACACAGAGCCGACCATCGGGTTTATTCTAGTAACGGTGGAACCGACGGTATACGATGCCTGTCGTGAAGGTGCTATGCGGCAATATTTATAAAACGTCGCTGTGTTGTGCGAGGAATATACGCACAAGTGCGTGACCAAAGCCAGGTCACCGCAAGGCATGAACGAATTAGTTTTGCAGTGGTGGTAGAGAACAGGAACTGGCGTTAACTTGACAACTGTTTGTTGACCCATGGATTTGACCAATTTACGAGCACTGGGGTACGTAAAGTTGCCCAAGGGCAAGATTTCATCACGGCGATTACAAGGGGCGTCGGTCAGGCAAAGAGGGGCGGGAATTGTTTTTTTTTTTTCGAAATGGAGGGCCTGTGCAGTGCTGTAATATTCAAAAAGTGTGATCGCCTCGGTCTACTGTACGAAGTGGCAAGATTATGTGTGGGGTGTAAAAAAATAAAAATAAAAGGTAGGTGCCTGTTTACTGTCTCTTTGGTCAAGGGAGCTGTTGCAATGCAAAGAGGTTGGCTACTCTGATCTTCGGCCCCGCCGTGGTGGTCTAGTGGCTAAGGTACTCGGCTGCTGACCTACAGGGCGCGGGTTCAAATCCCGGCTGCATTTCCGATGGAGGCGGAAATGTTGTAGGCCCTTGTGCTCAGATTTGGGTGCACGTTAAAGAACCCCAGGTAGTCGAAATTTCCGGAGCCCTCCACTACGGCGTCTCTCATAATCATATGGTGGTTTTGGGACGTTGAACCCCACAAATCAATCAATACTCTGATCTTCGGCTGTTTTGCGTCGAGTCCGGAAGAATGAACAAGTGCGTATTATAATCATGGCTGCATGAAAGGGGCAAAAACTGTGTTCTTTGAGGTGTTGGGCCCAGTCCGTGCATCATATCTTGAAAGGAATGAGCAAACTAATCACAGATTTTTACGAGCCATGATCACACCGCTTGCCTTGAATCGATAGACAGGACGAGCGTCGCTTCGCACATAGCGTTGTGTTACGATAGAATTTTGTTATCACTACGGGTCACGTGATAAAGGCTGCTCGCCATAGTTCGTGGACCATTCGGATTGCCTGCTATCGCATTCACTACTGCGCCGCTGCGGCAAAACTGACTTTTTTTACGTGAAGCTATTGGGCTCAGTTTGTACTCAGAGCACGCGTGCATGTGCTTTATCAGCCAGAGCGTGCAGACATGATGTCGTTGTCATCATCTCAATGCCTGCCTCGAACACGTGGCTCAATAAAAATAAATACTGTGGTTTAACGTCCTAAGCCCACCATATTATTATTAGACGCACCATAGTAAAGGGCTCCGGAAATTTCGACTGTCTGGTGTTCTTTAACATGCACCTAAATCTAGGCACACGGGCATGAAGCATTTTCGCCTCCCTTGAAAACACGGCCGCCGCGGCCGGGATTCGATCCCGCGACCTGCGGGTCAGCAGCCGAGTGCCTTAGCCACTAGACCACCATGAGGTGTAACACGCGACTTAAGTGCACACTTTCCGCGCAGTACAGTCCCATATGACAGTTCACTTTCTTTTGTGCGCATTTTGTTTCTGCAGAATCCAAGCTTCTGTCGACCAACATACGAAAAACACTGCAAAAAGTATGCACCCTTGTCTGTTGGTCGCAAACGGCAACGCTTATCTATATCGCGATGCTTTTTATGCTCTAAATATCATCGCTTGGCACAATCACGCGATGAAAAGCGCTAGTGTTTTCAGTATGACAGATTGTTCTCCATGTGAGAGTAGCACTCACTAGAATAAAAATATTAATAAGAATAAAGAAAAGGCGATGAAGAAATACGGGTATTTTTGTTTGTGAGTTAGATATGCACAAATGGTCATAAATCTTTTTCAGAGTAGGCGAGAGTTTTTTAGCAACTAAATGAACAAGTGTCTCAAAGAATACGTACTTTGGATTTGAACATCGACGCGAAGCACGAGGTCGTGTGGGTCGATCGGTATTTCCGACTTGCCATGGAAGTGAACACTAAAGCTGAAAACGTAGGTCAAGTCTTTGAATACGCACCTGTATGAGACAGGAACTGTGAATCAAAACAAGCCTGCATGCTGACCAGCACCACACTGGAGCGAGTTGAAGGCTGGCGATTCTACCGATAGGAACGAAACCCAGCCAAGGGAATTAATTGCTTGAGGTCTTCTACTGCAAGCTTGGGCATTTCAGCGCAAGGCTGTCCATTCAGGTACTGACCGCGGAAAGGGTGTCGCGTCTCTGCATTCACCAGCGTTTCTTCCGCTCTCTCAAAGGTAGCGGCGCGTAAAACGCGGGCACCTGGCTTGCATCGGTGCAAAGTAAACATTGCGCTGCTGAGCCTCCTCGCTGCGCAGGTGAGGGGAAGCCAAAAAGTGGGAAGCGCGAAGTGTGTGTAAATCCGCGACACGGGGAGAGACACGAAGGAAAAAACAAAGTGAGGCAAGGGGAGTTTGGTTGGTCGGTGGTGCTGAAACGTATGGCGCGAAGCCTGCGGGGCGGGCTAGGCTGCCGCCAAGGTCGCTCAGCCCAGCTAGCAGCCACGCGCGGTGCGGCGAGGCAGCAGGTTTAGTGTGACAGCAGCTGCCGGCGAGATAAACGCGTCGGCACAGACAGCACCTCCCCTCCTCTCCGGCACTTGTGCTCGACGAACGCTCTCAGTCTGGCTCCCAGTCCCAGGACGGCCGGTGCACAAGGGGAGCGCGACGAAGGCTCGCGCTCGCCGCACCGACGACAACAACCACCGCGCGGTGCAAAGCAGAAAGGGACCGCCGGCATGCAGTTCGTGTCCGTGGATGTGGGCACGCAGAGCGTCCGCGCCGCTCTCGTCAACGAGAAAGGACGCTTCCTGAAGACCGCGTCGCGACCGCTGGAGACGTGGAACCCGCTGCCGGAGTTTTACCAGCAGTCGTCGGACCAGATTTGGAAGGCCTGCTGCGAAGCCGTCAAGGTATACTTGACCGGTGTTGCACGTGGTGATTAGCGCGTTTGTGTCATTAAGAGGCTAAAAAGAGGTAAAATTGAATGGACGGAGACAGGCGAGTTAAGAGCGTGAGCGTCCAGTTTACGGTGCTGTTTTTATGATTCATGGGCATGAACGTATGCTCGGGAAAAGTTCTGGTGCTACTTAACTAGATATTCATTGAATTATTTATTAAAACAGATTCCCGTTATTACCTCAAGATAATAATGTTAGTGAATATGGGTACATGATATCTTCTCATGCACAGAATTTCATTGATATGAATTTCCAGCCTAATGTGTTTTAGTACACCGCTGTCATCGTCATTGCGTTCTGCGTTACGTAATTTATCGGCACTTTCTCAAAAGTTGTTTCTGGATTTGTAAACAGTTTTATACCCGGCATTAGTCAGTTATTCCGGTGTGACGTGTTTTCGTCAATAATGTAACCACCATTGATTTTTATATACAGCTTTTAAGGAAGGCTTGCCGCACCTAATTGTTAGTTCGGTAAGAAGAGTAATTTATGTTACGCTTTGAACACTTGAGGACTTAGATTTACCATTTCGCTTATGTTGCGCTCTTAAGAAATATATACATTTCTAACTAGTTCGATTATTCTTGATGGTTTTATGTTGGAGGAAAGCTGCGATTATTCCAGCTTGTTCCAACTTGTTGTGAAATGCCATTTCATTGGCACTTGGCTAGCATTCCGCATTCGCGAAAAACTGCATTCGCAGTCGCAACCTTATCGAGCTTAGTTGGTGCATCATTTCTAGTGCCTGTGAGATCAATGAACGCCGTGAATTCGGGTTAGCGTCCCTGAAACCATCATGTCGACGCTCTAGCACAGTGGGAAGCCGGTTCGTGACATCACGTGAATGCTGCGGATTGTCCACACGCTACCGTCTTACCTGTGTAATAGCAAAGAAGCTAATAACGTTCGATTATCGATTTATTGATTGCTTCCACGTGGCGTCATGGGCGCTGGTTAGTAACGTACTGGCGCTCCATCATAGAAGCTTCGATCATATCTGGGCAGAATATTGACGAGGTGGTCAATATTCTTCAATACCAACGATGCCGCTGCAATGTTTTTGATCACTGGCAATAAATGGCGAAAGAACCAGCACGTGGCGTACTGAAAACATTAACGTGGCAACACGATCTTCTCAGGCCTATATGCTAATACTCCAACGTTATGATTTCAATGGTTCCGGTACTTGACATCTAAACGGTATTGAAGCAGGTTAACCCGCTGAATCGAATATCTTCCATTCGTTAACGTCACCCACGTTGTTGTAATATAGAAGGTTCGAAAGCTGCATGTAGTTTTCAAAAGTTGTGAATTTTTTCGTAAAACGGCCTACATTCGGCCGCCGTGGTACAGGGAGTACGGTTCTCGGCTGCTGACTCAAAGGTCACGCGTTTGATCTCGGCCCCCGCGATCACACATCGATTGAGGCGAAATGCTAGATGTCCATGTGCTATGCCAGTGTATACTTCAAAGACCACCAAATCATACGAATTTCCGGAGCCTTCTACTAAGCCGCGCCTTCTAATCTTATCAGTGGTAATGCCATGCAAATTACTATTATATTTTTTGCACCTGAAGCTACATATGGCTAGGAGAAATCAAAAACTGTCCCGCAGTGGTGTCACGAGCGGCCTCCATTGGCTATATTATCAGTTACGCCATTCGCAGCGTCGTACCCATAGCACGCGCGCCATTGCTTGCGTTAAGAGCGATGTCGTTCTTCCCGTCGCTCCTGCTTCTCCTGGAAAGTTTTTCCTGAAACCTTTTACATGGGTGTGTTACAGACGACTCTAGGAGAGCGCCGACATTGTAAACGTGAAAGCGCTCGCATTCATCGGGACGATGGCGCAGTCCAGGCACAAAGAATTGACAGATCCCATGTACAGTGGGAATTCGATGATAGGCGAAGCACGATTGAGGAAGGTTGATATGTCACTTTCAAATCAGCAAAACGGGACGAAGCGGATGTAAATTAAGCTGTACGGGGCTTTCATGTCATGACTATTATGTTTGCGCCTGACATTTTCGTTCAGTCGTTCATTCACGTCGCGTAATACCACATACGGTATACGTGGAGCTATATAGCGAAACGACCGCGAGTGTGCTATGAGCGTAGAATGCTAGCATGTTCTGCATGAGACGAACATCATTATTATCATACTTGGACATGTCATTTACCTTCTACGTCCATTCATGTCACGTAATACCAAGTTTGGTATATGTGTACCTAGCGAAACGACCACGAGTGCACCATGAGCACGGCTTGTGGTCATGATTTAAATGACATGCATGACATGATTTCCACGTTTGGACCTGTTAATAATGTTCACCATGCAAGCAGTCATGTCATACCATAACAGTTTCGCAATATGTAACGTAAACGAAGCAACTGAAAAAGCAGCAAGACCATGACTTAAATTATGAAATTCATGGCATACAGCTCATGATTTTCATGCTTTGACTAGTCACTTATGCTCGTCATACAGTGATGTTATGGCACACCAATTTTGGTATAGATCCGTTATCGAAACTGCCAGGGTAGCCAAAAGTCCTAGGCGGCTAGATAGATAGATAGATAGATAGATAGATAGATAGATAGATAGACAGACAGACAGACAGACAGACAGACAGACAGACAGACAAGCAGGCAGGCAGGCAGGCAGGCAGGCAGGCAGGCAGGCAGACAGACAGACAGACAGACAGACAGACAGACAGACAGACAGACAGACAGACAGACAGACAGACAGACAGACAGACAGACAGACAGACAGATAGATAGATAGATAGATAGATAGATAGATAGATAGATAGATAGATAGATAGATAGATAGATAGATAGATAGATAGATAGATAGATAGATAGATAGATAGATAGATAGATAGATAGACGTGCAAAGGTCGTCGAAGTACTTTAAGCGCCAAACCTCATAAGCGCGAAAATGCACGCGACAGCGACGAGCGACGCGACGTAGATCGTCTTCGCGCGATCAGTCGCTAGCGCAGGCAAACCTCATTCACGCGACGGCTTCGGCGAGCGAATTCCACTGTTGCTGGCATGAGGCCATCTACTCGCACCAAGAAATCTGCGTAGCGAGCGGTATGCAATTTAAAAATAAGATAATTGTTGTGTAATGAAACGGAAAGTGTTTATTATTGCCTTGCAGCACTTTTTTATATGCACATGCGTAATAAACATTGCGTTATTTTTTGTTGCGCATACGTGATTGGGGCAGGGTCGCGTGCACCTATGTAGTCTTTGTCTTTTCCGGTTTTTCGCTATTGGCTGCTTGAGCCCAGCACTTCCGGGCGATGAGCGACGGTTTCCAAATCTGGAGAACCGAGCGATCGCGCGAAAATGAGCACGCGACACGTCGCGCGAACGCCCTGTTTCGTCGCTCATAGCGTCGCTCGTCGCCGTCGCGTGCATTTTCGCGCTTATGAGGTTTGGCCTTAACAAATGCTTCGCATCAAAAAGAAAAAGCCCGGGAGGCCGAGTGCCGGCAGCAACTGTGTACCGATGATCCGCAAGCCTATCACCATCATCATCAGCATCAGCCTGACTACGTCCAGTGCAAGGGGTGGTGGTGAAAACATTTAATAACCAATAAATGGTTACAGAGAGGTGATTGGGTTGGGGCCTTATTGGCCTCCTACCCTCACAGCACTAGGTGGAACCCCTATTCCGGGGCTCCATTGGCAAGCAACGCCGCCCGCGCACGTTGAACCAGAGCCTCTTGGGCCTTCAGGTCTTGACAGCCGAGCAGGGCCGCCTCCCAGTCCTCTCTCGTGGGATTGGGGTTGGGGGGGATAGATGTATTAGACTGGCACGCCCAGACGATGTGAAAGGTGTCAGCCACCTCACCACAGAACTGGCACGTGCCATCAAAGGATGAATTGAAATGTTTTAGCACCGCCGGGCACAGTACAGTATTGGTAAACAGTTTTAAAAGGAGGCGCTCGTCAGCGCGATGCAGTCCCTTACAAGGGTCTGGATAGCGCCGGTGCTCCTCCTTGTAGTAATTGGTAATATCTTTGAATGAAAGGGCCGAATGGTCTGATTGCGAGTAGGCTTCCAAAGACAGGGAGATAGCCCGGGAAGAGAGTGCGCGGGCGGCCTGATCGGCCTGTTCGTTACCCCTGAGTCCTTGGTGACCGGGTGCCCAAACCAGATTTCGCGGAGTTGGATTAACGTATCGGCAGCTAGGTTCCAGTATGCGCTGAGCAAGCGGTGAAGCCCACCCTAGCTGATAGTTCCGACAGGCCCCTCGTGAGTCGGTAATGATATGTTTAGAAGAGGGATAGGTGAGAGCCAGAGCGATGGCAACCTCCTCCGCGTGTGTTGCGCAGTAGGCTTTGAAAGTGAGCCCGTTTACGGGGTTTGCGTTGTGTATGACTGCGGCAGTATACCACCCCCCATGGTGCGGGCCGGCAACGTCCACGTCCAGTGCAAGACAAAGGCCTCTCCCATGTTCAGCCAGTCAACTCGGTCTTGTGCTGGCTGCTGCCTATTTATACCCGCAAACTTCTTAATCCCATCTGCCCACCTAACCTTCTGTCTCCACCCGCTTGCCTTCTCTAGGAATCCAGTTAGTTACCCTTAATGACCAGTGGTTATCCTGTCTACGTGCTACATGCCCGGCCCATTTCCTCTTCTTGATTTCAACTATGATATGCTTAACACCGGTTTGTTCCCTAATCCCCTCTGCTTTTCAAGCTGCGTTAAATCCTGAAGGGGACTGCAAGCGCCGGTCGCGGGCGGAAACCACTCCGCCGAAAGGGGTAGCTTGCAACGTTCCGGGCGCAGCAACGTGATGATTGCAGGAGCGCGTTCGCCGGGGCGAACGCCCGCTTTCGGCGGATGTTTCTCCAGCGGCACTTTGGGCCGGCTGTGACGTCTGTGAGCACCTGTGGTTTGGGAACTACCACTGTGATTGACGCATTGCGATACAAAT